GCAGCACCACACCACCTCAGTCTAGTGCTGTCCAAGTTTGCTATGAAACGACAACAGATACCCTCCAGGTGATTCTGGAGCACACTGAAGTTGAGAATCACTAATCTGAGGGTCAAGCTGCTCTACATTCTAGAATACAAACCAATTTAGACAGGGACTAGGAGAATGAGCTGCTTCCGGTTTTGTCTTTTTTAAAACCAGCAGCTGTTCTACTGAGTTGCCGATAATAAAGGTGGCAAAGTGCTTATAAGCTTTGCTGCTAACCAAAAGGTCTGCGGTTTGAACCCAGCAGCTGCTCTGCGGGGCAAAGAAGTGGCAGGCAGTCTGCTTCCATAATGATTGTACCATTGGGAACACTATGTTCTACTCGGCCTATGAGCTCACTATGAGTCAGAATCGACTCGATGGCAATCGTTTTGGTTTGGTACACTATGGCGTCAAATTGGCCATGCTATATGGGCATCAACTTCATGATTTATTTCCACTGCCTTTGATCAAAGTCAATGGAAGAACAAGCAAGTTTGCAGCACCAATTTAACCTTTTATGCCTAATTTGGAGTCATGGTGTGGCACTGTGGACTAATGTGCTCGACTGCAGTGTCTGTTGGAACCACAAAGTTGGTGGTTCAAGCTCACCAGCCACTCCTTGTAAACTCTATACAGGTTCACTGTGGGTCTGAACCAATGGCACTTAACAACAACGCCTAATTTAGGAGTGCTGATGTGGCACTGCATGATAATGCACTGGGCCACAAGGTTGGTTTGAACCTCAAGGATAGCAGTTCAAGCTCACCAGGTGCTCCTCAAAAACCCTATACAGAGTCACTGAGTCAGAACCTAGTGACAGCACTTAACAACGATGACTAATTCAACTTCTTCCTCTCATGTTCTCATTTGCTGTCAAAGGCACAAACTTCTAGACCTTTCCTCAAAATTAAGTAATCTAGGCCTTTGATTACTACTTAATTCATTGGCATGTATTTTTACCTCATTTCAAAGTCTTCAGCATGAGAAAGAAACTCAGTTGCCAGAACAACTGTAATTAAACAATTTAGTCTTTACTCAAACATTAACCCTACTTGGTCAATCTTACTGTATTGTTGGCTCATATAAAAATGGCATGGAGGCAGCATCTGACGTCCTAGCTTCATGAGGGAGAGAAAGAATCCTTATCTGCATCAGTCCCTCAGAGCTAATTCCTATGAGGTGGGACAAACCATGCTTCCACCCTCCAACTTGTTTTTTCACAATTCTGATACCAATCATCCCTCCCACAGCACTTTCGACTTTTCTGCTAGGTTTCATAAGCTGTTTCAATAACCCCATAGAATTCATAGACAATACTCACAATGATAGATAGGGTTTATTAGGGAAGACGTTATAACGGTACTGCTGAGTTGGCTCTGACTCATAGTAAACCTGTATAGGGTTTCCAAGGAGTGGCTGGTGAGTTTGAACCGCCAACTTTGCCATTCAAACTAACCTTGAGATCCAGTTTTTATCCTACAGTGCCATGCTACAGTGCCACACCAGGACTCTGACGTAACCAGTTATAACTCAAGTTCATGAACACTCAGAATACAGTTCTTCCATCAGGGTAGCCTCTTCTCAGGCATCTCTGGTCCTCAGACCCTCGCTCAGCCTGGCCTCTGCCCTCTCGGGCAAATATTACAAAGCTCTTTGAGTTCTGCCAATTAAGTGCCCAGAGGCACCTCAATTTTTGAGTAAGCACTGGGCCAAAGGCACTCAGCTCTAGTCGGGGTCACACAGAGACACCCCACTCCCAACAGAGTCTCCTGCCTCAGGCATTCTGGTTCCCGCTCTACAGGCTGGGGCTTCTGCTGACACCATTTCTCTGACAAGACTTCTCACTGCCTCTTACCACCTCTGGTGTCACAGCTGTCTCCTGGACCAAGGAGCTTCTCAGCACAGGGATCCCATGTCCAGAGGACCTGCACACCACTCCTGGTTCTTCATTCTTGATGGCAGTGAGACCCTACCTTCCCACATCTTGGGTGGCTGATTTGAAGCCCAGCAAGAAGAAAAACTGACCAATCTCCATATTAGGTTTCCAAACACCTTATTTACATGGGTGCACGCCCACAGGAGTGCCTGTTCAGTTTATTTACATTGTTAGTAAGCTGACCACTCTTTGGTGACAAACACTTCACATTTGCATAGTTGTACCCAGTCAGCACTGCGGCTCTGTAGGATAAGCAATGGACTGCTAGCCACAAAGTTGGCAGTTCAAGCCCACCAGTTGCTCAAGAGAGAGAGAGAGATGAGGCTTTCTGCTCCTTTAAAGATTTATACCCTTGGAAACCCCAAACAGGGTTTCTATGAGTCAGACCCACACACACCACCAACACCCCCACACCCCCTCCCCCCACCACACCCCCAGTCCCAGATCATTTCTAAAATCCTGCGTGGAAGCCTGAAATCATAGCCACGCCGTGTGCGTAACAGTGCAGACTGAAGCTAGTCAACTCCCTCAGAGTGGGTGTGGTGCGTCCCTGGGGACAATCAAGGCCTCCTGCCAGGAACTCTCCCAAACCTCACCCCATTCTTCTCTACACCGGGATCCTTTCTAGTTCTAACAAATGAGTAGCCCTTAGGTATATAGTCTTCATGTGTTTTGTGAGATGTTAACAAATCCCAGTGGCAATGGACCATGGGAGCTGACAGTAGAGTCGATTTGCATAGGTTCTATTAAGGATATGTGGACTATACAGACCACATGGGCAGTAGGTGAAGGACCGAATCCTTCCAGCTCATGACCTAGTTCAGTGGACTAGACAGAGCAAGAGGCCACCTGACCTGAAGAGCTGATTCCTGGAAGTTGTGAAGACTCAGCCTATGGTTGGTGACAAGAAATGGAAATATGGGAAAGTGAGGCCTGGATCCACTTCCAGCTGCAAAGTTAGTCATAAAGGTGGGGTTTGCCCATCTTTTCTAAAGCCACAGGCACTTTCTTGGAATTATATTTTAAAATATTGTTGTGACACTCTCCCTTACCTTACCCCTAGCCCCAAAAGTCAATGTTCATTTATGTGACTTTAATAGGTAAACCTGGTGTGGGGCTGTACGGTAAGCACTAGACTACAAGGATGGTTTGAGGCTGGTGGTTCGAACTCACCAGCTGCTCCTAGAAAACCCTACACAGGGTCACTATGAGTCAGAACCAACTCAACAGCACTTAACAACAAAGTAAGAAATCCACAGATCCGGAAGTAAATTCCAGCTCTTCCACTTAAAAGTTGAGCGACTTCAATGTCCACTTCCTCCTGTGTGAAATGGAGCAAATAGTAAATTCCACCCTACACTATTGATTACATAAATAGCTCTGTCTCTAAAATTAAGAATGAGTTGTTGTTGTTGTTGTTAAGTGCAGTCCAGTTGATTCAGACCCATAAAGACCCTGTCTAGGGTTTCCAAGGAGCAGCTGAAGCATTAGCCCACAGCCCCACACCAGGACAAGAATGAGTACTTGACCCCTAATTAACAAAAAATTCTTGCCTTTCTCTTCTCACATAATCCTCCCAGTTGGCAGCAACTGTCATACTCATTTGCACATAAAAAATAAGAGACCAGAGAAGGGAAGCTAGCTGCCCAAGATCTCACAACAGGTAAGTCGCAGGGCGGATAGCTGAACCCGGATCTAACTGATTTTATCAGGAATAACTCCAAGTCTGAAAGATGGGGTAAAGTCAGTACAGTAAGTTTGCAAGACCTAATCGTGCACCCAAAGAGCCAAACAAAGTGGGTCCTGCCTGAAGCCTCCACCTCCAGAATTTGAGAAGCAATGCAGCTCTGGTGCTCCACAGGGAAGCAGATGCATGTAAGAGCATTGCATACCCGGTGGTATTTTCTGTTGGAAGCAGCCAGTTTTGTAGACATTTCCATCAATTTTAACTTGCTGCCAGCATTTGCATGATTTCAGAATCGTTTTCAAGTCTTCCTATGGGGACATTGGCACCTGGGAAAAAACAGGAGTCTAGACAAGCACAGGTGTGAAAAGAGAAGTCGTACTTCGCTTCTCCCAGGAACTGATGTAGTTTTACTGGAACATGTTCAGGGGAGTAGCAGGGCCAAGAGCCTAGTTAGTCTTCTATATCCCACAAACCTTAGAACTTTGGGCTCTTTCCCTAATATGGTCTTTCTCCAATGACTTAAAAGGTTCAGGTCAAACTTCACCTATAATCCATTTTCCTAGTTTCATTTAAGTACTTAGTTCCTACTCAGCATATGTTTGCTAGCTTGTGTCCACTTAGAAGTGGCCAGAATTGCTGGCATCTCAATCAGATTAGAACAGTCCTTAATTTACAAAATGAAAACAATTTTACTCACCACTCTATCAAGTGAATTCTTTAAAAATGTGGGTCTACCAATCAGTATCAAACGGATGGAAGGCCCTGGTTATGTTCACAGAATTAAGAACTGGAAGAGCAAAGAGGAAAAAATATTATCTATGGTTTTAGAGACAAAGAACAGAATGGAAAAAAAAAAAAATTTCATCCAAGATTTCTGATTTCTGATTTCTTTGACTATTTTCCTGGTACCAGCTGCATCTGAACACAGATCTGCCTGAAGGAGTTATAGACATATTCCTTGTGAACTGCAAAATACCCAAAGTGACAATCACCAGGACAAAAATACCTAGAAGAAAACAAGCCAAGGCCAATTACAATATATTGGTTTTGAACAACTATGAGGTCATATAAGGAACTGCCAATTCAACACAGACAGCAGTCTCCACCAGACGTATGCTCTACATGCTTACTTATAACTCTAAAGGCAGGGAGACTAAGGGTGCTAAGAGACATCAGTAATCAGACTTGGGATAAAATAATTAGAAAGTTTATTAGCCAAAGGAAAAAATATTGGATTCATCAAAGTCAATTCTCATTAAGTGAGAAAAAGTAAGTTTACAGAAAATTTCTTTCTTGTGAACAATAAAAAAAAAAAAAAATCACTATGCTTTTGGTCCAAGATACGTTGGTTTTTTTCCTTCTTCTTCAGATGAAAGACAGATGGATGGAGCTGAATCTATGAACGAGTGTACTTGCCCCAAATGTGCAACATAAATACAGAAGCGATGAACAGAAGACTCATAACCAATACTGGAACAGGGCCACTAGAAATAAGAAGAAAAGGAATACTTACTTTCAGTAATAATATATTGTTATATTTTCAATACTACTGATTACCTAGGACGGGAGACCATGTAAGATTCATGCAGGAACATCATGCACATCATTTTTAACTATTAACCAAATTGCTAATGTGAATATTTTGAGGAAGTGCTGTTGGCATCACGATTATATTTAGAAAAGAGGAGTCCTTATCTTTTAGCGAAGCATACTGAAATATATTCAGATAAAATATGTGATGTCTTGGATTTGCTTCAAAGTAGGATGGAACAGTGAGGGGTGGGTGGGAGTAGTAAGGAAACACGACAGGCCATGAGTTGCTAGCTGCTGAAGCTACCAAATGGGCACATGAGGGCTCTGTAAACTCGCTCTCTACATGTACATACTTGGTGTTGTCTATAAGAAAAGCAAAAGGAAATTTGCCCAAAGTCTTTAATTGCAAATGATCCAAATACCAAACTAATGTTTTCAAATTCAGATTCATTTAAAGACAACAATCTTCACAGCCTAACTACGGTGCACTCTAGGTATACCAAGAGGAATGGCACATTATAATTTACCAAGTGATTTCAAATATGTGATCCCATTTGATCTCTACAACAAATACATGAGGTAGGTATGTTATTCACCTCATTTTATAAATAAGGAAAACAGGCTTAGAGAAATTTTTACTTTCTAAAAGACAGCCAAGAAAGATTCAAACTAGTTTTCTGATTTTATAGATATCACTCCATTGCTTCAAGGTTCTAACCTTCAAAAGCAAACATTCTAGGCAATATGTATTAAGTTTAATTATGAGTTTTTATAGAAGGAAGTTGGTTTTACTCATCAGCCCATTCTAAATCCAATAGTTTTCAAGTTTTTAAACCAGTATGTGGATTCTTTATAAAAGGAGAACCCACTGATCTTACACAGCCTGTGAATATCTAACTTAGTGAAATCTGACAGACCCATCCATATCTTGTACTCTTCCTGCCAACACCAGGTTTGGAGAATTCAAGATGTCTCAACATGACACCTCAAAACAACTGGGAGCAGACAATGGAAAAGACCACAAATAAAGACTCTTTGTAATCATCAAGGCAGTAGAAGAAACCCCAGGAGTAAGAGAATCCACTAGTGGACAATAAATGACGTGTACAGATCAAAGTCCTTGCTACACTCCACTTCTGTTCTTCTAGAATTGATACAACTAAGGAAGTAACAAATTGAGATGGACCTAGGAAGAGACTGCGCTTAGCTCATGGTGGTGGTGGTGTGCCGTGGAGTTGGTTCTGACTTACAGCGACCCTATAAACCGTTTCCGAGGCTGGAAATCTTTATAGGAGCAGAGAGCCTCATCTTCCTCCTGCGGAAGCACTGGTAGTTTCCCACAAAGTACACCTCGTGACCACTACGCTCCCAGAGCTCCTCGCACTTGCTCGTTGCACCCGTTTTCCAGCCAGGCTACAGCAGCACCCATCAGAGTAGACTAGCTGAGCGTGCAGCTCTCAGTCCCACATTGCAAGCGGCTGAAAGCCCACTGTCACTTAGCAACTGTGAGTTTGGCCCTGTTACTTATCTTCTCGAAGCCTCAGTCTCCTCATCTATAAAGTGGACTCGATCACAGTACCAATAGCACCAACCTTGCAGGGTTGTTGAGGTATTAAATAAATTAGTACAAATATAACACTTGTAGCTTGTAGCAAACACTCAGTCAACTGTTATTAATATCATCTGAAATCAAAACAAAACAAAAATCTAAGCTCCTAGGAAGAGTCAAAAACATGGTTAAGCTATTTTAAGATGTGGTACAAAAATGTCCAGCTGCGTCCTTTCACCAAAAACATCTGCTGCTGGTGTGATGAGAATGGGATTTCTGACACCTTAAGGAATCATCTCTAATAGTTCCTGGGAGAGCGCAAACTCCAGCAGCAAACAGGTCTGGCTGCACAAAACCAAGAGAACAGGCTTTGATGCCATTCTGGAGAAGTACCCTTGGGGTACTCTGACGAGCAAGGGGCTTCAAAATGTCTCCAGGAAATACTCAGAAAAATTACTTTTAACAAAGATCAAAAGCATGCCAGCCAGAATGCTGCCAACCATCATGCCCCCAGCCCCAACAATTACTTCCTAGAATACATTATCTCACTAAACAAATCTCCAGAATTTCAGGGAAGCCCTCATAAACCAGAACTGAAACTCAAGCAAAACTGTTGGTCACCTTAAAACCCCAAATGACAAGGACACCCACACCTGCAGATAATACCCACATGACCTGGACCAGATGACTAGATGATCGGAGCTCAACCAGAAGAAAGAAGAGGAAAAAAAAAGAGTGAGCTGATACAATCTGATGAACTTGACCTATACCTATGGAACAACACCAAAGAAGGAACAAATCCTTACAGCAAGAAACATTCCCACCCCCTCCACACAGAGTGGGCAGAGATGGGCAACTTGGACATTGGACATCCAAATGGGGAGGTGGTGGACTACAAAGGAAGTGACTGGCTTACAAGCTTTCAAGAGGGAACCTAGAGCTAGGGGGCATGGAGGAAGGCAGAATCTCCAGTGAGTACTATCCAATCTGTCTAGGCGGAGCTGATGAAATGAAATACAGATGGGTAACTCGTGATACTGTAGTGAATAATGGTTATCAGGACTGATTATGAGGGTTGGAAGTGCAAAGGTAGATGTTTCATAGCAAGGAAGGGAGCGATTATTTCTCCAGTCTAGGAGCGGAGGTCTCTAGGACCATCAACGGAGAAGAGCCAAGAGTAGGACCCTACCCAGAGAACCAGAGATCCCTGAGATGGAGACAGAGACCATGACGTGGAGTGATGAAGCGGCTAGGGACTTTGGATCCAGAGAGGGAGAGGGACTGTGGGCCGAAGACTGGGGGGGGAGGGGGACGGGTTTCTAGGATATGCCCTTTGGTTGGTTGATGATGCATGAAGGGGACTGGAACCATGGCAATGAAATGATATACAATGGAATGAATGTAAAACTAAAGTTCTCTCATGTAAACTATCATATAATTCACAATAAAACATTTTTTTTTTAAAATCCAAATGACTCTAATTTGGTCTTTTTTTCTAGCAAACAGGCAGTATGACAGGAGCATGGAAATGACAGTCAGAGTGTCTGGTTTCACTTGTAGGTCGGTCTTTGTCACAGTGCCTCTCTCATCTGAGCTCCTTCATCTGCAAAAGGCCCAACATCTCTGAGGATTATGGGGCATATCAAACAAGAGAAAAGCTCCTGAACACTCTCGGCAAGGCACCGGGTACCAGGCAGTGAAGATGAGAGCTGCTGCTTTTCCTCCCGTTCTTTACAAAACCCACGAGGTTTAGTCAAGAAACAGCAGTAAGCATGGTGTCCTACAGCTTACTCCAGTCAGATCCCAGTGGGATTAGACCTGCCGCATGGTACCAGCAAGTCTGGAGGGGAGGTGGGCACAGTTTGGAGGACAGGGGTCCGAGGATGGCCATTTCCAATCGCCTAATGTGTGCTCCCTGGTGTGGCGCTGTGGGCTAATGCGTCAGACTGCAAAGTTGTTTGAACCGATGGTTCAAGCTTACCAGCTGCTCCTTGGAAACCCTATATAGGGTTGTTATGGATCAGAATCAACTCAACGACACTTAACAACAAAAACAGTGAGTTCTCCCAGGCCTAAGCATCTGAAAAGAGATGTTTGCTCCCTGGGATTCACTCACCACCCACTGATAGCAAGGAGGCCAAGGAGCTTTTGGTAACACAGCCTAACAGAGAAACTTCCATTAGGCTATAATCCTATCAACTTGGGCCTCTAGAAATGTTTTGAAAAATCACCCAATTCCTATTCAAATGGTTACTTCCATTTCTCAATGTGGGACAAGAACACCAAATGAAGAGCAATTTCATCTAATTAAGCAGTTTTCCCTCCAGTTCTCTGTGTTCCCATCATTTATTTTGATATAGCTACATGAAGAGCTGCCCTCGTTCTCACTCAATGCATGAAGAAATATCATTCCAGGGTCTAGACTGTCTAACCTGCTGATACATGAGGCAAACCAAGACCAGCCCACCTGGCAAAAAAGAAGCTATGCAAATTGTAAATCTCATCAAAGCAAATAGCACTGGCAGCAGACAGACAGACAGACAGACAGCACTGCCAAGCCGCTACCCAATCAGGAGAGAAGCACAAGTCTGCTGCCATGACTTACACTTTGAGGCCAGGTGAGTCTTCAGTGTAGAATCGCCACATCCCACCAGTGCCCGCCGAGGTTGTGCGGCCAGCACTTCTTGCACCACAGCTGGCATTTTTCCTGTCAGAGAGAACAAGGTCACAAACTGCCTTTTCTGGGACCACTGCATTGCTTAAAACACTTTAAGGGAAGCAGCTTTTTCTCTCTGTGGGGACTCCCCAGGTCCCTTCCTGTGGACCTCTCTGAGTGCGGTGACCTCAGTGAACTGCTAATGCCTGTGGTAGCCCTGCTATACGTGACTGCTGCCATCTTACAAGTGAGGACAGAAGGTTCCCAAAGCAGAAGCAAAGCGTCTAAGGCTGAACTGGGAAGTGGGCCCACTTGTGAGTCCAGGGCCCAGCCACATGCCACCAGGCCACCGCAGTTAGATAGGGAATTTCAGTTTCTCGTCATACGTGTTTTTGAAAAGCCAATAATAACCCTCTGTTGAAAAATACTCTAAATCTTATTACCTAGTCTTTACAAGTGACTACTTACAGCAAGCTTCAAATGTGTCCAGGTCTTAAAATGGAGCACATACTTTACGAACAGTACCTTGCAATGTTTTTACGATTTTGATATACTGCTCACGGACCTCAGACAGAAACCCCAATCGGGGCCTGAGCAAGGCTTGTGACATGAGCCATGTGACACAAGCAGGAAACAGAAAACAGTACCAACACTCAGCTCAGAAGAGTTAGCTGCTGGCCAGGAGAGGCCCAGGGCAGCCTTCCCTCCTCTGTAGAACCCCTCATTCACTCAGTGACAGTTCTCCAGACAGCTGGTTTCCACACTGGATTAGGGTGGACCTAATCATAGTGCTTACGAATTGGGCTGCTAACCCCAGGGACAGCAGTTCGAAACCAGCAGCGGTTCCGCGGGAGAAAGATGAGGCTCTCTGCTCAGCCTCAGAAACCCTACGCAGGGTCGCTGTGAGTCGGAACCAACTCCATAGTACACCAGCAGCAGCAGCAATCCTCTCTGTGGAGGCCTGATGTGGTGCTGTAGGATAAGCACTGGACCACAAGGTAGGTATGAAGCAAGGTCAGCGGTTCAAACCCACCAGCCACTCCTGAGAAACCCAATGTAGGGTCACTAGGAGTCGGAATTAACTCGACAGCACTTAACAACAACAATCTCATTTGTGGTGTCCTTATAAAAGAGGAGAAGACAGAGAGAAAGGTGCAAAGGAGCATGTGAAGATACTTGTTGCTAAGTGCCATCAAGTCGGTGCTGGCTCACAGTGACCCTTAGAGTCTCCAAGGCTATAAATCTTTGGGGGAGCAGAAAGCCTCATCTTTCTTCCAAGGAGCAGTTGGTGGGCTGTGGTTCACAGTCAGCGCTTATCCTATAGAGCCACCGTGCTCTCAAATATGCATTTACACACCAATAAACACCTGGGGCTAACAGAAGTTGGATTCCTGGTGTGGTGCTATAGATTAGCACTGCACTGCTAACCACAAAGTCGGCAATTCAAACCCACTAAAAGCTGCTAGGAAACCCTACACAGTGTCGCTATGAGTCAGAACCAACTCAAGAGCACTTAACAACCACCAGAAGCTGCGGGATAAGAACCTTGGGAGGCAGTATAACCCTGTCAACAACCTGAATGTGAACTACTCGTCTCCAGAAATTAGAGCAGTTTCTGATGTGGAAAGCCACCCACTTTCTGGTGCTTTGGTACGGCAGCCCCAGGAAACTTAATAGCCCTACCGTGGCCTTTAACCGAATAAGTACTGGACTGCTGACCAAAAGGCTGGCCATTCAAACCCACCAGCTGCTCCTGGGAAACCCTATACAGGGCTCGCTATGAGTCAGAACTGACTCGATGGCACTGAACAGCAACTACACGCACGCAGCACTGGTCTCAAGCTCAGGGAGCCCACCCCCACAGCCTGATGGGATGAACAAGTAGAGGCCTGGTTCCAGCCAGGGTTCATGCTACCACTTCATAAACACATTCCTTTCATCAGGGTCAAGCTCAGGGAGCCCACCCCCACAGCCTGATGGGATGAACAAGTAGAGGCCTGGTTCCAGCCAGGGTTCATGCTACCACTTTGTAAACAAGTTCCCTCCATCAGGGTCAAGCTCAGGAAGTCCGCCCCTACAGCCTGATGGGATGGACGAGTAGAGGCCTGGTTCCAGCCAGGATTCATGCTACCACTTCGTAAACACGTTCCCACCATCAAGGTCAAGCGATGATTAAGGACTATCACACTAACAAGGATTTTGTTATGGCAAACACAACTGAACAGAAATTTACAGAACAACTAGTACCCTTCCCTTAGAGGAAGTGACACACACATACCCCATGTAATCTGGAGGGGAGGCAGCTGAAACCTTGAGTGAGAAGAGAAACCCAGCGTGGACAAGGGACGCCGTCAGCTGCACCAGGACTAGGACCCATGCACTAGAACTTTCCACTGTCCCCATGACCTCTCAACTCCAGGTCATGTCTATAAAGTCTCCGGAAATCATAGACATCTTGGAAGAGTCGAAGTCTGGCCTCTTTTAAGATTTCTTATCTGCATTGGCACAGACATTACAGGATTTGAAAACCAGGGCACCTAGAAATACCAAAATGTCCTCAAAATCCCTCCAATTCCCCACTGGGAATCTAGTAAAGGCTGGCAGAGCCTACATTAACCTCTGAAATTTCTTTCTGCAGTCTATTTTCTTTCTGGCCATTTTGTAATTGCTTCCCTCGTCCTATGCCTTAACATATGGTTTTCATAATAAACACTTAACACGCTTTGTTCTAATGTGATGGCTTTCCAGCTAATCCTTCAAGAAGTCAAGTTCATTCCCACCTCAGTCTTTACAAGTCATGTGGAAAGCCTAACCCTCCCCAGAGCTTTGTATGAATTGCTCCTTGCTCGTTTCAGGTCTCTCAAATGTCACCTAAAGGCTCTCTTAAAACACATCTTCACTCTGTCTTCACACTCTATCTCTACCAAGCACTGCTATTCTGGATAATCCTGAAATGACATGATTTCTTTGCCTTTTTTATAGTCTCTCACACTAGAATAGAATGGGAACTTCAAAAAGTTCATGGAGAGATGGAATGGTTACATAAACTTTTGGAAGTCCCCTCATGTAAGGTTCCTGAGTACAACCCTGACTACTTTGTTCAGATAGAGCCTCAAAACTGGAACAGGGACCGGCATGTAGAAGATCCTAATAACTATTTGGTAACCATCTTAATACCCCAGATTCCCCTTCATCCTCTCAAACACTGCTTGGCACTTCAAAGTCTACATTGTACTTTTATCCTTTTCATTTTCACTTGTAGAGACTTCATTTTACACCGTAGTAAGCAGAGATAGGACTTCAACCCTGGACTGACCTTAAGGTCAAACTATTTTCTCTCCAAGGTTTTGCTTCTACTACCTCACTGTGTAGACAAAACAATGCCGATCTGCAGACAACCTAATAAAAACATTATTAACCTCAGATTTATAAAGCAGGGATATATTCTTAGACAACAGTACTTATTACATTTATGAACAGTGTTAGCATTCCTAGAAGGGGACACAGTAAGTCCTCTCACTATATACAACCAGGGTCTGGCTCGCCAAGTTATACTGGCCTCAGACATACTGAATCCTAAAAGATGACATCAAAACCCACATCTGCATCTGTTCCTAAACGTTTAAGTTCATTTCACTAATGTATCAGTTATTTAATATTTCTGCACCTTGGAATGTCTTACCTATAATCTTATCTATTACAGGACTACCTTAAAATCACCTTTAATAAGTCACTTACTATCATTCAACAAAGGACCTCTGGTAGCGTAGTGGTTACGAATCGAGCTGCGAACCTTAAGGTCAGCAGTTTCAAACTACCAGCCGCACTGCGGGGAAAAAGACAAGGCTTTCTGCTCCTGTAAAGATTTACAGCCTTGGAAACCCTGTACAGGGTCGCTATAGGTCAGAACAGACTTGATGGCACTTAACAACATCATTCAACAAAGCCCCCCAGCCCTACGGATTTCTGCATCATCTCTCAGAGAAGTCTGTGGATCTTTTCTACTTAGTCTTTGATGCTCACATTTGGTTTATGAAGTAATTTGCCTCCTTTCTTCACTTTTCACCTACATACTGAATCCTTCCTTGCTAACATCCTAAAACCTAGCTTTCTTACTTTCACACTCAGGATGAAATGGTAATATTTTTAATCTCTGCCATTAGCTTTAGCGCAACTTCCCTACCTTCCATCCGAGGATAATCGTTCAGACCCACAGATGGTTCAGCGGTAGAATGCTCGCTCACCTGCCATCTGGAAACCCAGCACTGTCAACTCACTGCAACCCTATACGGCAGACCAGAACTTCTCCCACAGGGGTTTCAAAGTTGCAAAGTTTTATGGAAGTACACTGTTTCCATCTTTCTCCCATGGAGTGAGTTGTGGGTTTGAACCAATGACCTAATGGTTAGCAATTAAGTATTTTAAACACTGCTCCCCCAGGTTTCCTTCATACAGTGTTGTTGTCAAATGCCGTCGAGTCAATTCTGACCCATAGTGACCTTGTATAGGGTTTCCAAGGAGCAGCTGATGAGCTTGAACCGCTGACCTTGCAGTTCCAACGGCTTTGCAGTCTGGCGCATTAACCCACAGTGCCACACCAGGACTCGTCCATTCTGACTCACAGTGACTACATTCACACCAGAAGGAAACCCTGCCCGTCCTGTGCCATCCTCACAATCGTTGTGAAGCTTAAGTCCATTGCTGCTGCTGCTACACCAATCCATTTTGTTGGGGGTCATTACTGACATACATTGTTTTTGCTGTTGTTGTTGCAAAGTGCCTTCAAGTTGGTTCCAACCCGCAACAACTACCTATAGGGCTTCCAAGTTGTTGAGTTTGAACCCCAGACCCTGTGGTTCAAACCGCCCTTACAGTCGAATGCTTACCCTACAGTGCGACACCAGGACTCCTGATACACAACTGGCGCTTTATCTACCACATAATATGTTGGAGGAAAGAGCCACTCATCCCTTTGTGATTCTGTCATCTAGGTTCTTCTTATATAAAATATGCCTATCTGTCCTTTTGTGGCACTGTGGGTTAAGGCGCCAGACTGCAAAGCCATTTGAACTGCAAGGTCAGCGGTTCAAGCTCACCAACGTCTCCCTAGAAACCCTATACAGAGTCACTATGGGTCGGAACAGACTCGACAGCACTTAACAACAACGATCTGTCCTCTGCAGCTAAAAGAAAAGAAAAAAGAACAACCTCCCAGTCCTTCCCTTTTATATTCAAACAAAAGTAACCATAGGATTTGTGCCACAAATCAATCTTCTGATCCATGCTACATTCTTCTTTCTCTGAATTTTCTTAATGCCTAGAATTTGAATCACTGCTTAGCACTGAGTGATTGTCAGCGCACACTCTTGTGATGTCTCCCCAGTTTAAGGATAATGATGTAGATCAGGACCATGTCACAAACCAGGACTTGTGGGACCTATATTACTTTATATTCTTCTTCTGGCTTTCCTTTGTGTTAAAGGAGAAGCAAGGCACACAGAGACACTTGATAAATATATGCAAAACTCTATTTGTTCTTTTCAGATGGCCAAATTTCCCTACCACAGTACCACTAATGTTCATTAACCAGTTCCATTTCTTCTAGGAAATGACCCTATACGACATCCTTTCCAGCACAAAGGAGCTCTGAGATCCAGGGTAGGAATAGACAGCACTCCAAGTCCATATAACCTAACCACAACCTGACCCCTTGCTGTAAATATCTAACAACAAACCCAGGTCATCTCACCACTGCCGACGGCTCTATAGAAATGTCTGCGCTCTCAGCTGAGATAGCTCTCATCTCACTTCGAAGCATCATTTTAGATTTACCTACAGCAGTGAAGAAGTGAGTCCTGGTGGTGCAGTGATTATGCACTCAGGTGCTAACTGAAAAGTTAGCAGTTCTAACCCACCAGTCACTCTGTGAAAAAAAGGATGAGACAGTGTGTTTCCATTATGATTTACAGTCTTGGAAACCATCTGGGGCAGCCCTACTCTCCTTACAGGGTCACTTATGGATTTCTGGTATGGCACTGTAGGATCGGCACTGGACTACAAACCACAGGTCGGCAGTTCAAACCCACCAGCTACTCCTTGGAAACTCTACACAAGGTCGCTATGAGACGGAACCAACTTGACAGCACTTAACAACACCAAGGTCATTACAAGTCACAATTGACTTGATGACAGGGGTTTTGTAGTTAAGAAAGAAGTTCCATCCTTCATATCCTTAAAGACAGTGTTCATGGACTCTGCCTAGTCTTTTCTTGATAAAAATCTCACTGTTGTTAAGTGTCATTGAGTCGGTTCCAACTCATAGCTACCTGTGTAGGGTTTCCAAGGAGTGGCTAGTGAGCTTGAAACCACCAGCCTTGCAGTTCAAACCGATTTGGTAGTATAGCGCATTAACTGACAGCAAAAATTCCACTAGTTCCCTCAAAAATCCCAGGATAACAGGGCTGCTTGGCCCATCCTTTAGTCATCATTTATTGTTGTGTTGTTGTTGTTGTTGTTAAGTGCCTTCAAGTCGGTTCCGACCCATAGCGACCCTGTACAGGGTTTCCGAGGGTGTAAATCTTTACGGGAGTAGAAAGCCTCATCTTTCTCCCGCGGAGCAGCTGGTAGTTTTGAACCGCTGACCTTAAGGTTTGCAGCCCGATTCGTAACCACTACGCTACCAGAGTGTTAAGCCTTGTAATAGGAATCAGGGATAAAGAAGCTAAATAACTACTGCTGTCTGCAGAGTCGGGGGAGCTCTGAGAAGAAGTCATTCCTGAGATCAGTCTTGAGAATAGAAATCTGAGGAAAGGGGTCAAGAAGAAAGTTCAGAGCCTCCAAAAGAGTAAATTCAGAAACAGAAGGAGCTCTGGTAGCGTAGTGGTTACGAATCGGGCTGCGAACCTTAAGGTCAGCGGTTCGAAACTACCAGCCGCTCCGCGGGAGAAAGATGAGGCTTTCTACTCCCGTAAAGATTTACACCCTCGGAAACCCTGTACAGGGTCGCTATGGGTCGGAACTGACTCGACGGCACTTAACAACAACAACAACAATAAGTACACCATTGCTGGATAACAGAAGAAAGAAGAAGGTTAGGCTGAAAAGACCATCAAAAGCCTCATAACCCATTCTTTAAAGTTCAGCAACAAGAAATTACAGATCTTCAAGGAGAAGAATGAGGAGTCAGAGTGGAGGGCAGATGACCATGGAAATGACCTAGGAAGGAGACGCTGTGGTGTTGCTGTACAGTGGGTCCGTTCTGACCCAGTCTGACCCTGAATAGGATTTCCGAAGAGCGGCTAGTGGGTTTGGAATGCCAACCTTGTGGCTGGCACTCCAGTGCTGATCCCAGAGAAGTATCAAATGCAACAGTCCAGATAAAAGAAACTGAAGGCTAACATGAGGTGGTGGAAATGGAGAAGGAAAAGAAACATGAGAAGGCTTTTCTGCAGATTTTAAAGTCTGGTCAATGACTGGGCAGAGAGGGCAGAAGAAACATCCAAGATGACACAGAAGTTTTTATCTTGAGTAAAGAGGTGGACAGCAGTGCCATATGGTAGAGATGCCATTTGGGGGCAAAAAGGTAGCCTTGAGTTTTGAGTACACAAGTTATGTTTTGCATGTGTATGGGACCTCCAGAGCGAAATGTGACTATAAAGCTCAGATTCAGTAACACCAGCGTTCCCAGAAGTCAGCTGACCATATTCCAGTCTGTGAACGCTCCTTTAAGAGTGGTACCAGAAACTGAACAACGCAAAGACAACGCTGCCAGGCTCTCGAGACACAATAGTAGGAGATCTGTAATTCCTGTAATTCCCGCTACAGCCACGTCAGATAAGGTTCATTTTGCTCTTGTAAATCTTCCTATCCCAAGATCACCCACCCAGGGCCACTGAATTCCTTGGCCGCACCTCTCCGAACCCACAACCCAGCCGGTCAATGGATCCTCACCTCTGTCGGACGGTGGACCCCGCCGCCCGGGCGGCCACCGCTTTGCTGGGCGAGCGCCCTGAGGAGCCCACGTTGGTGCCACTGGGGGTTGGACCAGGCTGCAGAGGAAGAGACAAGGAGACAGACGGGTCAACGCCGCGAGCCCAGACCCTGACAAGCGAGACCGGCACCCGCGCCAAAGGATCGGGAGAGCGAAGACACGGGGAGACAGCACAACACAGGCAGAAGTCAGGCGACCTGGGGGAAGCAGGGTTCAAGGAGGGTAGGCTGAGGCCACCATACCATGTTGGAAGCTAGAAGGTAGCAAGCTGAAGCGGATGGCCGGAAGCTGAGTAGCCCTCCAAATACCCGCGGCTGGAGAGACTGGCTCAGACCCCGCCCCCAGACCTGCTGGCAGGGGCCTCATTGACTCCAGGGACGTCTAGGCTGCCCCTGTTAATTGCCTGTATATATTTCACTCCGGGGGTTTTGGTCAGCTACTGTATAGAAAGTATAGACCCGCATCTCCTTCCTATAGATAATCCTTAATTGGGTCCAACATCTACAAAGAGAAGATATAGCCGATGTCAGGCGAGGTGTTTTATCCGGCAGTTAATAGGCTCCTATACCTTTGCGCTGATGTGGCCTAACTGACGTGCACAGAACGGGGGCGGGGTCGGCCTCCCAGTGGCCAGCTGGGAGTCGGGAGGCGGAGCTCTCCGGGAAGCCCCCTCTGGGCGCTGGGCGCAGGCGCGACTCCCTGGCGATGGCGGGGGACTCAGGTCATGATTGGGACCCGGGTCCCAGTCCTTCTGTGCTTTTTCTGCACCCGGACCTAGGCGTAGGTGGCGCCGAGCGGCTGGTGCTAGATGCGGCGCTGGCGCTGCGGACGCGCGGATGCGACGTGCAGATCTGGACGACGCACTACGACCCCGGCCACTGCTTCGCCGAGAGCCGCGAACTACCGGTGCACTGCGCCGGGGACTGGCTGCCGCGTAGCCTGGGCTGGGGCGGCCGCGGAACCGCGCTCTGCGCCTACCTGCGCATGGTCTACCTGGCTCTCTACGTGCTGCTGCTCAGCGGCGTGGAGTTCGACGTGGTCGTGTGCGACCAGGTGAGACGTCCACGGGGCTGCGCTGCGCCTGACTTGTTTTATCCGTTGTGCAGTGCGGCCACGCCAAGGCCCTTGCTGGCGTCCCGTTGCTCGTTATGGAGACCACCGCTTGATCTCCTGAGTACTCTTCTCAGTCTAAGGTTCAGAAAGATCTGAGTCTATCTGGAGAAATGAGGTGGGGGTGAGACGACGTTGTCCAACTTTAAGTGTGAGCTCTCCCTGCAGATTCCAGGGTCCCACCCTCAGAAGTTTTCATCCTGGAGTTGTAGCGTGGGTCTCCGAAATCTGCATTTTAACTGGGTCTCTTTAGAGAAAAGTCCAACTTCTGTACCTTGGTAAATACTGCACACAGGGATCTACCCTCCAGCTGTTCTAGATAACTTGCTTCTTAGAACCACCCCCCAAAAATTTTATTTTAAATGTAATTTTCATGATTAAAATTCAAGTAGTATGTAAAAATATGTCAAAGTCCCACCCTAATCCCACTCCCCAAAATTAGCCACTGATCCCACTCCCCAAAATTAGCCACTGTTTCTTCTGTATCTAGAAATGCCTATGTCCACAGCAGCATATGTATATATATATGTTGTTGTTAAGTGCCATTGAGTCAATTCCGACCCATAGCCACCCTGTATAGGGTTTCCAGTGAGCAGCTGGTGAGCTTGAACCACTGGCCTTGCAGTTCAAACGACTTTGCAGTCTTGACGCATTAGCCCACAGCGCCACACCAAGACTCATGTTGTTGTTGTTAGGTGCCATCAAGTCGGTACCAACTCATAGCGACCTTCTACACAACAGAAAGAAACACTGCCCGATCCTGGGCTAACCTCACAATTGTTGCCACGCTTGAGCCCATTGATGCTGCCACTTTGCCAATCCATCTCGTTGGGGGTCTTCCTCTTCTCTGACCCTCCACCCTACCAAACATGCTATCCTTCTCCAGTGAATGGCCCCTCCTGACAATATGTCCAAGTATGAGAGATGAAGTTTGGCCATCCTGGCCTCCAAGGAGCACTCTGGCTGCACTTCTTCAACAAAGATCTGTTGGTTCTTTTAGCAGCCCATGGAACTTTCAGTATTCTCTGCCAACATTATAGCTCAAAAGCATCAATTGTTCTACGGTCTTCCTTAGTGTCCAGCTTTTGTGTGTATATGAGGTTATTGAAAATACCATGGCTTGGGTCAGGCGCACCTTGTTGTTGTGAAGTGCCGTCAAGTCGGTTCCGACCCATAGCGACCCTGTAGGGTTTCCAAGGAGCAGCTGGTAAGCTTGAACTGCCAACCTTGCAGTTCAAATGGCTTTGCAGTCTGGCGCATTAACCCACAGCACTACACCACGTATGTCTTATATGTCCGTAATGGAGCGGTTAACACATCTGTTGGAAGAAAGGGAGCCCTGCTTGGTGTGGCATTGTAAGATAAGCCCAGGATCATAAGGTTGGTTTTAGCCACAAGGTCGGTAATTCAAGTTCCCCAGCCACTCCTCAGAGCCCTATCAGGGTCATTATGAGTCAGAACCAACTCAGCAGCATTTAATAACATTGGAAGGAAGGAGTCCTGGTGTAGTGCTGTAGGATAAACACTGAACTGCCAAACCTCAAGGAGTCCTGGTGTAGCTCTGTAAGGTAAGCATTGGGCTGCAAAGTCAGCAGCCACCTCTCGGAAACCCTATATAGGGTTGGTATGAGTCGGAGCCAACTCCACAGCACTTAACAACAAGAACAGCCAGCCTCAGTGTTGGTGGTTCAAACCCACCAGCCAATCTTTGGCAGCCCTATACAGGGTCACTGTGAGTCAGAACTGACTCGTCAACACTTAACAATATTGACAGACAGACCAGGCAGTGTATTTCTGAACACTCTATGGGTTACAGTGATCCAGGCCTGTTGGAGACCAGCTGGATGGTCTGTTGGGTAGTTTGCTTTATTTCCACAAAAATTTGTATTTGGGGCATTTTTATGTATCAAGATTAGAGATTCATTTCTCTCTTTGTAGTGGCTGCAAAATCCACTTTTGTTTGGATTTCACAAAAACATACACATTTTTCTATTAAAGGATACTAACATCTTAATTTTTTGTGGCCAGATCAGTGTTTTACTGAACATCTTTGTGTTTGTTGTTTGGTTTGGGGGAAGTGGAGAGAGCTGGTAGTTTGCAAGCATGGCCTTTGAGTAAATGCCTAGAAAGGGAGTTGTTAGATCAATAAAGACTGAAAGCTACTGCCAAATTTGCCTTCCAGAAGCTTCTGTCATGTTACTTCTACAGTGCATGCTTAGCACACATCCAATAAATGGCTACTGACCTTCTATACATTATGTCTAGTGCCAGGAAAGAGTCTAGGGAAACAGAAAATGGCCAGGGCCATAATTAATTAAGGAATAAAAATGAAGAAATTGAGACATATTAATCGAGGAATTGAAATAAAGAAATGAGACACGGGGGAGCCTGCGCATGAAGAATTCATTGTCCTTGCAAAGCAACAATGAAATACTTTCTTTTCTTTTCTTTTTCTTTCTTTCTTTCTTTCTCTCTTTGGATGGCAGAGCCACAAAGAGTTGTTTTATTATTTTTTATGCACAGACCCCTAGTTGAATTTTTCTCTTGTTGAATCATTCTCTGAGTTATTCATGATTTTATTGGTATCCCTTTTACTTTAGATTTTTTACTCTCCTACACTTTAGTATATGCTCATTAAAAGTTAGAAGCCACACATTAGCTACATTTTATTCTACTTGTAATCATAGGTAGTTTTAATACTTATATTAACAATATTCTTAAGACTGCTAGGAGACAGGACTTGTCAATTGAATTACTGCCAGCTTAGGTTTAGTGATTGTAAACATTCTTCCTTGTAGCCTTAGTTTAAGGCAATAAAGAATCCTAAACGTGAATAGACCATAAATAAGTGCTGTGGGTACAAGAATTTCAAAAAATATAATTAGACTATAGATAAGGGTTGTGAGAATCTACAGTTATATAAATAGGAAGTCTGATCAGTAAAATAGGGGAATTGTCTTGATAAGCTTCAGCTTCCCTGAGAAAGGATGTTTCTGTAAGAGGAAGCTAAAGAAGTGTAAATTGCATCTGACAATTAGGCTTGATGGCTTAAGATTTGACTAACAAAGGTTAAGAAACATGTAAAGGTTAACTTGCTTCTCAGAGAAAAGAACAGATTTATGTAGGAACAAATGTTTCACTAAAAGTTCCAAGGCGCCTGAATGTCTCTTATGCCTTGAGATAATGTCTTTGCTGTGACTTCTCATTCCTGTTGTAAATTTAAAAATTGTAAACCATAAGGAATGTGCCCCAAGTTAGATTGTACCTTGATGTCATTGATTGCTGTGAAAACAATGTTTTTTGTTTCTGTAACGGTATATAAGATGTTAAGAGAAGTAGAGATAGAGAGATATAGAAGTAGTAATATTAAAGTATGTAAGAAAAAAAACCCATAGACTCCGTGTAATCCGCCGACGTCGCACACGCTTTCGGAAAAAACCCTGAAATAAGTTTGCTGGGGCTGGCTCCCGGCAAGAAAACCAACTCACACTATCCATGAGGACCCTGTAGACTTGCCACCAGGGTCAGTAGCTGTACATAGTATTTGGTTGAAGTCACTTAATCTGTTCATTTTCCTTTGACTAGGTGTCTGCTTGCATCCCAGTGCTCAGACTGGCCAGACGGCGTAAGAAGATCCTGTTTTACTGTCATTTCCCGGATCTGCTGCTCACCAAGCGCGAGTCTTTCCTTAAACGACTGTATAGAACCCCGATCGACTGGATAGAGGAATACACCACTGGCATGGCTGACTGCATTGTAGTCAACAGTCGGTTTACAGCTAATGTTTTTAAAAACACGTTTAAGACCTTGTCTGGCATCGACCCCGATGTGCTCTACCCCTCTCTAAATGTCACCAGTTTTGACTCAGCTGTTCCTGAAAAACTTGATGAACTAGTCCCCGAAGGAAAAAAATTCCTATTTCTCTCCATAAACAGGTATGAAAGGAAGAAAAATCTGGCTTTGGCGCTGGAAGCACTAGTAGAGCTGCGTGGAAGATTGACAGCCCAGGACTGGGGCAGGGTCCATCTGATCCTGGCGGGAGGATATGATGCGAGAGTCCTGGAGAATGTGGAGCACTACCAGGAGCTGAAGAACATGGCCCAGCGGTTGGACCTGGACCAGCACTTGACCTTCCTGCGGTCTTTCTCGGACAAGCAGAAAATCTCCCTCCTCCACAGCTGTACGTGTGTGCTTTACACACCAAGCAATGAGCACTTTGGCATTGTCCCCCTGGAGGCCATGTACATGAAGTGCCCGGTCATCGCTACAAATTCAGGCGGGCCCCTGGAATCCATCCTGCACAACATCACAGGGTTTCTGTGTGAGCCTGACCCGGTGAACTTCTCAAAAGCCATGGAAAAGTTCATCTACAATCCTTCCTTGAAAACCACAATGGGACTGGCTGGAAGAGCTAGAGTGCAGGAGAAGTTTTCCTCAGAAGCATTTGCAGAACAGCTTTACCAGTATGTCACCAAACTGTCGGGATAACCAGGTTCTTTTTACGGTCTTTATGCTGGAGTCCTGATGTGGCACTGAAGGATAACCACTGGATTGCTAACCACAAGGTCAGCGGTTCAAACCCACCAGCCAGTCTTCAAAAACCCTATTTTAACAAACAACATGCTGCATTCATTCATAGCATTTTTGTGGTTTGTAGACGTGAAATGAAAAATCTGTAATCTACAGAAGAGATTTTTAAAAACCAAACAAAAATTTGAGCTACCTTTCTATACACCACACCTCTCTGCCTACTTTTTCAGAAGGAAAAAGACCTTTTATTCTATAATTATTCCTAGTGTACAGTGTACAACCCCATGCTAGGTAGAATACTTTAACTGTATTTCCACTGGATTACTATTGCGCTGCTTATATATTTTTAATTACATTGTGCCTTAATTGATTTTGATAGTCTGTGAATCATTATCAAACTTAATTTGACGTCAGTGTAATGCGTAGGATTTCTGTCGTTCCAGAAACCTAAGTGTTCATTGTCCTTTGTTGAGAAATTTTTGTCAGTAGTACTCTTTGCCTGAATCCATAGCAACAGTGCTCTGTATTTATTTTCAAGGATGACTTTTTGTAATTTTTGCACCCTGAGACATGTTAATAAAAGATGTGTCTCTTACCTAGGAAGAGACAATAAAATTACAGATTTGGGCCTCCATGATCTGTTTTGGAATTAGGAATGACAGTCAAGCTTAAAGTCAGAAAACAAGAGTAAATAGTGTCAGGCTGAAAAGGGCTTGTTGGCAAGTGTGCAGTGTGCCTCCTGGTCAAGGCACGCTTCTTAATGGTACCCTGTTAATATGTCTTATTGACTCAGTGTAGAACACCCATGCTTTTTATCCTTCAAGGCCTTCAAACGCCATTGCAATGAAGCTGTCCTTGACCCTCTGCCTGCCTCTCAAACCAGAAGAGCTCCTCCCTTCTGTCTGCTGCAGCCCTTTCTTGGCAGTGCCTATGAGTTCCTTATTCACCTGTGAACTCTCCAGCAGCCCAAGCTGCCAACAAACACTGTCTTATTCATGTATCTCCCCAGCAACTAGCCTGACACGTAGTAAATGGATAAAAACTTGGTTGAAAAACTAAGTACAAATAATAAACACACAGCAGTTTTCAATATACCTTTAAAGCTAAATTTGTAGAAGAGTAAGTTTAAAAATATTACTACAGAATCCAACACCTTTATTAAGCCAAACTATCAAAATGTGAAGCTATTGATTCTCATTATATCCTCCACCTAGGTCTGTACACTTCTGAAGGTGGTGATTCTCATCTCTAAGCTGTCATTCATCTCTAACTCTTCGCTGAAGAATTCTGTGCTCTTCAGTTTACCTCATGTCAAAACAGCAGTTGGGAAGAACAAACAAGATGGCGGCTCGGGTAACAGTGCAGTGAGGAGCTCTGCCGACAACAACACAATACCAGACCAAACAGGCTCAGGGGATGGTGCCAAAACTATGAACCACGTATAAAGGAATATTTAGAGGGTTGGAAGGCTTACAGGTAGGGGAATTTGTAGCAGAAGCAAGAAATCCATTGCTTTCGAATTAAAGACCCTCAGCTGCTCCCAGAGCCACCATCTTGGGTGAGATCAAGTGGGGGAAGGATCAGAACAGCCATGGATGCCTGACAGAACTGTAGAGATACAGGTGTGGACATGTTATTTTTTTGGTATCTGTTCATTGGTCCCTCGCTATCTGCACACCTCCATTCTGGTAACTATAGGGGTGCCTGAGTGAGTGGACACCCCAGCCCCACCCTCGGAGTGTTCTACTACGCATGCACACAGATCTCCTCAAAATTTAAAGAGACAGTTTCCACTTAAAGCCAAACGGCCACAGCTGGCCCTGAACTGTTCATAACTAGAAAAAAGACCAGAACAGGGATTGTGGAGTGGGACAAGCAGACTAAAATGGAAATAGGCCAAAAATTAAATCCTAAGTTATGTCAAAATGAGAAACAGTGGCATCTTGAAATTTCCCAAGAAGAGGAGTGAAAAGGGAAGCCCATTTCCTGATCACATCTACTTAGAGGCAATCAAAAAGCATTAAAAAATACCCAAATACACACCCATCTAAGTATGATACGGCCACAGAAAATTCCTGAATATGCCCAAAAAACAGAAGCAGATGATCATATCTGCACATGTCCAGAAA